TTTATAAAAATTGCGCTTTGTTTCAATAAAGTAAGAAATGCTCGATGCCATATGAAAACTATATTATCTATATTAGAATTATATTACCTACTTTTGGAACCTAACTAACTACTGACTAAATTTGAGTATTTTGCAGTGAAGCCAAACCAACAAACTGCCTAGCATTATTATCATCAAGATAATCTGTCAGTTTGTAGTAAACTTGTTTACATAATTTGCGTTGAGTACCGTCATTATAGACACAATTAAAGAACAATAGGTTGCGGTCACCGGTGACCGCTTGGTGTTTGACGGTTTAATATATGTTTTTAAAATAACTATCGTGAGACATACTAAATTAAGTAAAAACGCGGGTTACTCACGTGAATATACTGAGAAAAGCTCTACTAGTTTCGAACTATAAGTGATTTGAAATGTTTTAATAAATTTTAAAGTAATTGATTTAAGAATTACACAAAACGACTTGCCCAAATAGAATTGATGTACTTTATCGTTACTTACTCGGAAGTTTTACATTCCGAAACTCTGCAGAACAAAAGTAAGGGTTTCATGCAAAGAAGTTTGCGACCAGAAATGAATCCACTTTAGATAGATTTGAACTAGACTTTTATGTAGCCTGACTCCATTTCCTTAAGCTTCAAAAAACATAAATTGAAATAGTATACGTATCATTTTCAGAGATAAATACAAGAACAAAGAAAGGAACTATTTGTTTATTGAAATGTGACGTCATACGATGCTCAATCATGGCCGTTAGCGTTTTGCGCATTATATTCTTTAGACAAAAAAATCTCGGATTACTTTTCAAAAATCGATTCTCTCTTCCCTGTTCCATTACGGTCTCCAAACACTGCTTTATCTCTTCCGCCAAACAGTGGCTAATCCTGGGGTTCTTCAAGACATCGACGGAGGACATAGAGTCACTCAGTACTCTTACTCTAGTCGCTGTCTAGAACCATTTTAACAGCTCTGTTCAATGCGTTTAGTTCAGATTGGTAAACCGTGCAAGAAGGCTCCAGACTAAAAATGGAATTAAAGTTCATTTTGGTGTTAGTGCATTTATCGAGGAAGATTAAGTGTGTGTGTGTGTGAATGTGTGTGTGTGTGTATGTGTGTGTGTGTGTGTCAATGTGTGTGTGTGTGTGTGTGTATGTTTGTGTGTGTGTGTGTGTGTGTGATAGGGAGATAGAAAGAATGTGTGCAACCTATTTTATAGATTTTCTATGAAAATTGAGTATTTTCATATAATATTAGTTTTTATGTAATAAAAACGGTGGCATAGACCTGGGGTTCACAGGCTCTTAGGTTAATGCTTTTGGATGCAGAAACCTGACGCAGTCACTTCATACAGTTTAGTTTGTCATCCATCACTTGATATCTCTTTAATCTCTTTATTAGTAAAAAGGCCGTCATCTTTGAACGATTATGCCAGCATAACTGTCATTTGATCTAAGTTTAAGGAATTATTTTGTAAAAATTGCAATACAGTATTAAATAAATGTGTATAATGTTATTGTACTATTTCCAAAAAATATTATTTTAACCCTAAATTTTGAAATAATGTTGCAACCTTGGTTGGAACTGTGTGGCCACTGAAAATATTAGTTTTGACAACAAAAAAAAAAAAGTTTTGACAACATTTAATTTCAGGTTCGAAAACTAGATGTAGCTGACGGTTCGATTTTTAAAGCTGTCAATGGCTCTAAGTGTGACGGCCCTGGTCGCGAACTATTAAGCACAAGACTAGGCCAAATGCCATTTAGCGCTTGTCTACATGTAGAATAGAAAACCAAATTATATGGAATTGACGTAAATTTTGACACTTGTCAGTGTCATCCCCATACATTTTGATTTCTACTCTCTCTGTAGACAAGCGCTAAAGTGGTTTTTGGCTAGAGGCCAGGATTTGTTTTAGATTTTTTCATCAACATTCTGAAAGCAGGTTTTGGTGCTTCCTGTTCACTTTCTTCTCCTCCTTCCTCTTCATCTTCTTGCATAGAATTTTCTTGTTCTTCTACCTCTTCTGTAAACAACATCATACAATATGAATAATAGATTGAATAAATTAAGAAGATATCCCATTGATTGCCAGAACGTAGGTCTAAGCGACAAACAATATATGTTGGACTTGTAAAATTCTAATCAATACTATCTTTACTGTCAAAACTTGGTTGTAAAACTACCTACCTATATACTCGTAACAAACAAAACAATGTTTACGTATCTAAATGAGCTCTTCGTTATCTAATATCATACAATCTATGCAGGTTTGAAATCTACAAAGTTTATTTATCAGTATCAATTTTAATTCAGTGTGAGGCACTACTGTCGCTTTGTGCGTGGTGTGAAACTCGTCGAGTACCGGTTTTGTAGACACAATTATAGAACAATAGGTTGCGGTCACCGGTGACCGCTTGGTGTTTGACAGTTTAATTTATTTCGAAATGATAAAATCATTGGCATCGTTTGTAAAGTTAGTAAACAAAAATAATGTGTTTTTGGAACAAGTTAGATATGCGTCACAAGCACTGCCACAGTTATCTTCGGTAAGAGTTAATTTATTGTTATTTCAAATAAGCCTATTAGCATTAACATTAAAATTTTTGGAAACACTGCATTAATAGATAGATAGTTATTTACTACGAATGTTTAATTTTTGTATATTGGAGGCAAGTATATGAATTTCAAGTACCAAAATATTGTGTTCGAAATGAGCATTTTTGCAGATAACTGGCGACGAGGTTGGTACTTAGATATGTTACGGGGAAATTAGGTACCTATAGGTAGGCTCTTAACTATTTACCTACTGTGTAGCGAATACATAATTAACATTGAATTCATGTACGCAGTTAACTTACATAGCTTAAAAATTTTCAGACGTTCTGAAAATTTTTAAGTAGGTGCCGTACTAAAAATGTGTATGCAGTTTCTTTACGAATAAAATATTTAGGGGTCATGAGATGATCACTTCTATATATCTAATCTAGATTTATTAAGTTGACTACCTACCCCGTTGCTCGATTCGCAGTAGCGAGAGTCGAGAGCCAAACAAGGTCTTGAATTCGATTCTTGATTCGGATGAATAGGTCGGTTTCCGGTTTACTTGTCATATTTTCAGTACCTACCAAATAGTTAGCATGGAGTTCCAATTATTCAGGAGTCGGAACTAACAACCGGGGAAAGATACTTTATCCGTGGGCCTATAGGAAGACAAGACAGAATCCATTTTGAGTGATGGACTGGTGGGTGATATCAGTGAATGACCTTAACGGAGGATGTTATTAAGAACAAATATTGCGGGTTTTCCTAATCGCACATTAAGAAGTTAACTAGTTTTCAGGCCAGTTTAAAATTGTCCCTTATTTTTTAGGAAAAATACAAAATTCATAGAAAAGACTTCAATAGAATCGAGTCATCAGACGTAGATTACTTCCGATCCGTACTTGGCCAAGATCGAGTGCTGACTGAAGAAAGTGATGTTTTGCCTTACAATGTAGATTGGATTAAAAATTGCAGAGGTAAGTACGTTGTTATAGCGCTCTCGATATACGAGCTCTCAGGTTCAGTTACCGAGTAAAGGTCCTAGAGCTTATGTCGTCTATTTTTCTTAGATTTATTAACAGCGTTTAACGACTATCGTTGATATTGATAAGATGATCAGTATTGTCGTAATGGAAAACTTTTTGCACACGCTCTATAGAGCAAAACAGCGCTGAGCACAAATGTGGTAAAATTTGTGCAAAAATTGCGTCGTCAGGACGATAACGCCGTGTGCATAAGCTAAAGGTGTTATTTATCTACCATAGCCATAAATTATAATGTCATTCTTAATTTTACTCCTTTAATTAAACTAGGTAATAACTCTGCCTTCATTAAGTCCTGCACTGCCGCAGGCCTAAGAGACCCCGGGGGACAGGGATGTCAATTTAAGGGGTACTTTTTTACTTAAGTAGATGTCGTATGTACTGACTTATTTAAGTTCAATTTTAGGTCAATCAAAAGCTGTCCTAAAACCTAAAAGTACAGAAGAGGTTTCAACGATACTTAAGTATTGCAACGAGAGAAAACTGGCAGTATGCCCGCAGGGTGGCAACACTGGGGTCGTTGGTGGATCTGTGCCCGTATTCGACGAAATTGTGATAAGTTTTTCATTGATGAACAAAATCATCGACCTCGATGATCTTTCAGGTACCTACTTATTATAATCCATATCCTTACTTCCTTATCCTTATATACATTTATTATATATATATATATATAAAATATTATAAATCTGAAAGTGAGTTTGTTTGTTTGTTTGTTCTGCTTTCACGCCGTAACTACTAAAACGATTGCTTTGAAATTTTGCAGACGTAAAGTTAGAAGTCCAGATTAAATCATAGGGTACTTTTTATCCCGGAAAAAAAATGGTTGCCTGTAAAGTCGTTTTTACGGGCGAAGATTTTACGTGACAACGTCTTTTTCTCGGTAGAATATTTATTGATATGAATATAATTAAATTGCACAATAGGAACAAGGAATTGAATGAACTAGTGCTGCGCGCGCGGCAGACCGATCATAGTTGAGTGGGAGAGAGACGCAAGGCATTCGGCGGGCCTCTCTCTCGTTCGGTGACTCATCGTAACGTTACCGAGCGTTACACTTTTTCATAAGTGACTCCCAGCCGCAACCTAATTTAAGACGTTGTCACGTCAAAAAAT